GTGCCCAGAGGCCTCATGCACCTGCTGACCTGGGGCTGGGGAGAGGAGCAGGGAAGGAGGAGACACCCGACAGGTGGGGACAGCAGGACTCACCTGGCCCAGTCGTGGACGAGACACCTGTGAGAAAGAGGAGGGAACATCAGACACACTGCACAGGTGGTGGCAAGAGGAGGACAAGGGTAGGGACACGGAGCTGGGAAACACTCAGCCCACGCTTGTTCCCTGCCTCGTAGGCTGTGGCCTTGTCATCCCAACCCATGCAAATTGTCCCTGGGGAGTGGCCCAGGCAGGTCCTACAGACCATTTCTAAATCAAGGTGACTAACTCTGTCAGGATGTGAAGAGCGGCTTCACCCCGAACCAACCCTCTCCCTGCAGGCTTAGCGGTTGAACCAGTCAGGAAGCCTCAAGAGGCCAGTGCCAGGCCCATGATAGGAGTGCTCTTCCAGCCCCCCCCTCCCCCCCGGCTGTACCCAGGCTCTGACCGCAGGCCACCAAGGGCCCCCTTCCCACAGCAGACTAGGTGCAGGGGCAACACAGCGCAGCTCTCAGAGGGAGCCCCAGTACCAGACTCAGGCCTTGCAGCCCCAGGCAGGATGGGCACACACACCTGTCTGCATGCCCAGCCCAGGTGCCTCCACTCTGACACCTCCTTACTAGTGCCTGAGATCAGAGTCCCACGCAGGGCAGGAGCCTGCACCCCTGGGCCTGAGACTCCCTCTTTCGAGATACGAAGGCCACTGCTTCGTCCGTGACGGGCCACGGGAGCCTCTGCATCAACCTAGGGAGCAGCGACAGCAACCCAGAGCAATGACTGCACCAACCCCCAGTATCCACCCGCTAGGTCCATGATCCAGAAGTTGGAGGATAATTCCAGAACAGCCTCTATGTGATAGAAATCTGCAATCCACCGCATACCTCCCTCATGAGCACTGGATTTGGTACCTTCCTGCCATCTAGCCATCCTGACCTCCTGTCCCTAAGGCCTTATACCACTTTCCTGAGTGAGCTATTGGCACTTGAGTCCTTTCCTCTGCCTCACCAGCTGGGAATACTCAGAGTACTGCAGTCTCCAAGGACAGGGGGCGCTGTACCAACCAGATCCCAAAGTTGCTGTCCCTGAGATGCAGCCTCAGGTAACATTGAGGGTGGGAGGTGGCACATGTTCCTGTAGCAAATGAAAGCTCATTGTTTCTGCCCTCAGTGACCTGGACCCTGGGTCCTAAGGCCAGTGACCAGTTAATGGCAAGCCAATGACAGACACTGCTTGCACTTTGGGGACCAGTACACACTCTGCTGTTTCCTGACTAGGATCTCTGACTTGGCGCCTCCAAGCCACCTGACCCCAGCCAGTCTTCAGAGACTCAGGTAACCTGGGGTGCCTAGGCAGAAACACTGGGGTTTGAAATATCTTCTCCCAGGCATTGTCCCACGAATGGGCCCAGTGATCTTCCATGCCCACCTGAGCAGATGACACCGGCGTCCTCACTATGCTGGCAGTTATGGGAGAGCCAGCCTCTGTGGGGGCAGCTCCACAGGTAGGACTCGTGCCCTGAGCAGCTCACGTCATCCAGGACAATGGGCCCTGAGCCCTGGCCAAACCGGGCA